AAACCCTACTTTAATTCTATCAATATGCAATAATGCATGGTTATTTTTAGAATATCTAAAAACCGATATACTGTGTGACCGTGTATCCGTTACACAGTCGGTCAGTCTGAATACTGCATATAATGAACTTACAATCTGGCGCACATATTGTAACATATTCTAAAAATTAAGGATTTATTTACGCACTCTAGGGCTTCGACTATGCAATAGTGAAGTCACCATATAATATAAGAATCTGTTATGAATAACGTTATTATTTGATCGATCTTCCTCCATCTTGGATTCACAAAAAGCAGATAACAATCGGCCGAGATCTTTAATGAAATGTGCAAATTTCGAGAGTAGTATCTAATTCATGTGCAAGACTTTTTGTATTAATAGAAAAATTAATGTGTTTATCATATTTACGGCTGTATTTTACAAAATAATAGAACATTTTTGTTTTATTCATTTTTTAAACTTTGACATATAAGAGTAGATAACTCAGATATAAGGAGAGATAACTCAAATAAAGTAATTTTATAATAGAATATTATATGTGTTGTGAATTCACCTATTCTATTATGTAGCAAGAAAACGAGTCTGGTGACCCCACTATTTCTTGTTCTTATCATAAAGCATATTATAAGAGCTATCTTCTCATATTTTATCTTAATTATAGTTTGCCTCCATATTCGACGTTTGAAACTGTTGGCGGTAGGTCTTGAATACCGGCTCATACGCCCTTTGAATGGTGCCGAAGGACAGCGATGTGTTTAAGTATGCATTTGATAAAAGGTGAATTAATGAGAAATTGCATACTTATCTTGAAGGAAATTATATTAGCTAGTAACTATCCGTTACACCGGTCCGTCTAAAAACTGCATATATATATATATATAAGGTACGTAAAAGCTGGCGCACACTTTGTAAAATATTCTAAAGATTAAGGTTTATTCACGCGGCTTCGATTATGCAGTTAACCATCTAGGAATGTGTTATATATAACGTTATTTCCAAATTCGATTGAAAATTAACCACATAAAACTTCATAGCAAGTCTTGGTGAGTGTTTAATTCTTCATTGCTTTATTTTAAGGCTGGCTGCTTTACTTTTTTGCCCAATATATGTTACTTTGTATGAATGCAGGTCACTACGTCCCTGCTGCAAAGACACAAAAAGAATCAAAACGCGCAAGTGCAAGTTACTCGGAACGTCAAGCTATATATCGGTGCCCCGATTGTGGCAATTATATACATATCCTTCCGTTTCTGGTTTCTGTGGTCATTTGAACAAAGCACAGCCTAAGCAAGATAAAAGGTATGTATTATAAAAACTTGTTTTTTGTTCATTCTCAATATATGCATGTCCATGATATACTCATGGACAAAAGACACGTCACATTAAAAATAAAGCGCAAATATAAAAATAAGAAGATGTGGTATAATTGCCAATGAGACATCTCTCCACCAGATACCCGATATATGCATGAATTTGTGAATAAGTGGCACGTTCTTGTGCGTGTAGATATTTTTTAGGGGTGCGTGTGTATATTTGTATATCCTATGTAGTAGTGCGTCGATATAGAACGGCGATTCATACCTGTAGAAAGAAAAAGTTTTGCTCAAATCTTTTGTTTAAATGAGCACATTTACAACGAAATGGTTACAAGACTTATTGCCTCAAACCAAAGCAACCTTTGTGAATTAAAATCCAGTTTGAAGAATCACTTTTTCATTTGTTCAATGAAAAAGTTCATTGGTGAAGACTTATCAAGTTTTCAATTTCGAATACCTCAGAATAGATTACCTAAGCAAAACTTTTAAGAATGTCCGGTCCTCAATGCTCTTCACCTCCGTACTTTATTTGGCCTTTTAAACTTTTTTCGATTCAAGCGACACTGATGAGTCTTTTTTAGATAAAACACGGGCCTGGCGTACACAATTTCAATCATGGTATTCATGATGAGTTCATTTTCCAGCCAAAAAAATGTCACGTGAATGAAAACAAAATTCCATTTTAAACGGCTTGATGTTAGAAATCTGAGGTTTCTGACCACACCCGTTTTATAGTTGTTATGCCTCAACATGCAGTTGTCTGTCAACTAACAAACAAAAGGGTTCATTGGAAAATATGAAAAATAAATAAATGGGGTTTCAACATGCTGAATGCTTATATAAGCATTTATAGATTACCAAACACTGCGAATCAAAAACTCACATATTTTATTATAAAAAGTCTGCATGCTCGCGATCGACTGTCTGGCCGCATTGCCTCCCTATATTATAACCTTCAGATTTTGCTCATTTCCCTGGTCTTTGTATAGTCTATAGTCGCCATTTTTCTAACATTTCTTTGTTATTTCCCTAAATTTTGAAAGTTTAATCTCGATGATGTCTGACAGAACCGAAATGATGTTTTTTCGAGAAATTAATATACATGTCATTCTTATTCAATACAAGTTATTATAAAAATATCAATCAATTAAAAATACTTTATAAAGTTGAAGTGATAAAACACTAAGTCCGAGCAGGAATTTAACATATATACTGTTCCCAGGTCCGACAGAATAAACATATAATAGTACAGTATGGCCCAATACCGAATCAAGAGAGCGTCAGTGGCAAATATTTCTAGCATCTGTTACATTGTAAAACAAGAGTGCACACGCTGAAATGTCTCGCCTTCTTTACTAATCACTGATATTATGTTGATAGTCCTAAATATAAAGCTTTATTACAACTGTCACATAAACTTAACATTAACCCAGAAAACTAAACATTGACCAATGAACCATGAAAATGAGGTCAAGGTCAGATGAACCATGCCAGGCAGGCATGTACAGCTAACAATTATTCCATACAACAAATATAGTTGACCTATTGCTTATAGTTTAAGAAAAGCAGACCAAAACACAAAAACTTAACACTGAGCAATGAACTGTGAAAATGAGGTCAAGGTCAAATAAAACCTGCGCGACTGACATATAGATCATAAAATATTTCCATACACCAAATATAGTTGACCTATTGCATATAGTATTAGAAAAAAGACCAAAAATCAAAATCTTAACTTTGACCACTGAACCATGAATATGAGGTCAAGGTCAAATGACACCTGCCAGCTAGACATGTACACCTTACAATCATTCCATACACCAAATATAGTTGACCTATTGCTGATAGTATTAGAAAAACAGACCAAAACACAAAAACTTAACATTGACCAATGAACCATGAAAATAGGTCAAGGACAAATGACACCTGCCAGACAGACATGTACACCTTACAATCATTCCATAGACCAAATATAGTTGACCAATGGCTTATAGTATTAGAAAAACAGACCAAAACACAAAAACTTAACATTGACCAATGAACCGTGAAAATGAGGTCAAGGTCAGATGAAACCTGCCAGACTGACATGTATCCCTTATAATCATTCCATACACCACATATAGCTGACCTACTGCTTGTAGTATCTGAGAACCGGACCTAATCACGTAACTTTAACCTTGATCACTGATCCATGAAATGAGGCTGAGGTCAGGTGAACCCTGTCTGATGGACATGTAGACGTTGCAAGGAACCCATATACCAAATATAGTTATCCTATTACTCATAATAAGTGAGAAATTTACATAACAAAAAAACTAAACTTTTTTTTCAAGCAGTCCCTGAACCATGAAAATAAGGTCAAGGACATTGGACATATGACAGACGGAAAGTTCGTAACATAAGGTATCTGCATACAAAGTATGAAGCATCCAGGTCTTCTACCTTCTGAAATATAAAGCTTTATACAAATAGTTTACGCCGCCGTCGCAGCCGCCGCCGCCGGATAGTAATACATATGTCTCACTTTCTGCGACTTTCATCGCAGGCGAGACAAAAATGTAGCCAAATATTCAGTACCGTAACGTCGGGTCGAGTTTGTTGCGTTTTTACAGGATTTATATGACGTACACCTTTCTATATAGATACTAATGGTTGAAACTACATCTCATGAAACTCAATTTAATATTTGAATAATATATATGCCTATAACATAATGGGGTCTAAAATGGTAGTCAACAGAGAATTGTTCTTAGACTAAATAGTCAACAATTTACTCATTTGGCAACTCCTCTAGATCTTGATGAGAAAATATTGTTACTAATCCCCCTCTGTTACACTTTTGTTTAAAGACAATTACTACCAAACAATAATGTATTGGTACATTTTAAAATAAAAAAAATTAAATAAATGGGGAATGTGTCCATTGGACACAGATGATGACCCCACTTGCATATCACATAAAGCTGTACATGGACATAACTAAAGATGGTAAAATTGATGCTACCCAAATTTGTACTTTATCTGAGTTACGTAGTAATAAGTATTGTGTATATGTTTCATAACACTTGGTTGAGGCAGACTTAAATTAAAAATGGAAACGAAAAAATCAGCAATTTTTCCATTTGTAAAGGGGCATAACTCTAGAACAGTAAAAGTGACACCACCAAAATTCAAACTTGACCTCTATTTTGTGGTAATAAGCATTGTTTATAAGTTTCATGACATTTGGTTGAGACTAACTCAAATTATAAAAATCTTAATTTAGAGAACAGAAACGAAAAATTAAGCCATTTTTCCATTTGTAAAGGGGCATAACTCTTGAACAGTTAAAGTGGCGCCACCAAAATTTAAACTTGATCTGTGTTTAGTGATAATAAGCTTTGTGTATAAGTTTTATAACATTTAGTTGAGGAAACAGAAACGAAAAACTCCTCAATTTTCCATTTTTAAAGGGGCATAACTCTAAACGGTTTAAGTGACTCTACCAAAATTTAAACTCGATATATGTTTTGTGGTAAAACGTCTTGTGTATAAGTTTCATAACATTTGGTTGAGGCAAACTGAAGTTAGAGAACTGAAACCAACTTTGGGACATACGTGCGTACAAAGGTAAAACTTAATGCCCCTCCACTACGGGGGGGGGGGGGGGGGGGGGGGGGGGGGCATGAAAACAAACTCAAAACAGATATTAAGATGATCTTTGCTTTAAAAACAGTAAAGGGCACATTTATAAGATTTCTTCAAATGGAAATTTTCTTATAAATACAAAATAATGTAATTACTACACACATCTTTTATGGCATTTTTTTCTACTGCAGTTAGTGAGTGTAGAATTAATAAGACAAGAGCATCAAATTCCATTTAGGTCTTCTTTAATTCTTATATCATCACGAAGGATACCTACATACTGCTGCCTCTCCTAAGAAAGGTTGTTCTGTTAAATCTTGGACCTTCTCGGTTGCTAATGCCTCCATAATATGTTAATTCTAACCTTCTCCTGACTTAATAACCTGACTGTAGTCATATAACAATCTGTCATTTAGTAAGTGGATGAAGCCTGAGTGTAGCAAAGCCTGAAGTTGAAGACGACTTGCTCTTTAGATAAAGACACCATTATATCATCATTGGCTGCCATCTCATAGCTTTTTGTCTATAACAATCAGGTTTGTTTCATTTGCTGCTCCAAGAAAAGTTGCTGGTAGCTACTGCCATCTGGGAACTGCCTTTCTATTTCTTAGTTTAGTTTTTCATCAATGCTGACTAGGCCTTATTATCTGAATCCTTACTTCATTTACTTGTAAATTCTTCTCTATTTCATTTACTTGTAATTTCTTCTCTGTTTCATTTACTTGTAATTTCTTCTCTGTTTCATTTACTTGTAACTTCTTCTCTGTTTCATTTACTTGTAATTTCTTCTCTGTTGCATTTACTTGTAATTTCTTCTCTGTTTCATTAACTTGTAATTTCTTCTCTATTTCATTTACTTGTAATTTCTTCTCTGTTTCATTTACTTTTAATTTCTTCTCTGTTTCATTAACTTGTAATTTCTTCTCTATTTCATTTACTTGTAATTTTTTCTCTTTTTCTTTTACTTGTAACTTCTTCTCTAAGTTTTTATTCTTTGTCTTCAGATCAGTTAAAAGAGCTGTAAGTTGTTTCAATTTGGTAACTTTTTCACTTTCTGTCATAACTGTATTTCCCTTGGTATATGACAACCAATTTATTTCTTCAGGTGGAACTTTTGTCTTAAGACGACTTTTTCTTTTGTTAAGAGACCTACGGTAGACTTGGCAACTTTTACATCTTTCTACTTTTGACAGCAAAGAGCAGTAAGATGACCTTATGGAGCTCTTGTAGTGGAAGTCTTTATTATATGCACCCAAATCCTCTTCTCTATATCCTGCACAGGTTGAAGAAGGCTTATTACTATAGCAACCCAGGGGCAAATTGTTGTTGAAATCAGGATCTGGGTTTCCAATGCAAACTTGGTAGCATGATGCGGTTTCGAGCAGCTCCTGTACATGTTGTGTACTTAGAAACTTGATTGGTAGGCCAGGTGTGTCCCATATGGCATGACTCTTTGGTAACAGTACTCCATGAACAATTATTTCAGCTTGAAAATTGGCATAAATGGTGATGCATGTTTTGACTGTTGGATTATCTGTATCATACAAATTAACATACCTTACATACTTTGAACTTTTCACCAATTCAAAAGGGCCATGTTCATTTAAATTTTTCTGACAGTCTTTTTTAAGCATATCGAACATATCTTTAGATTTTTCAAGTACAAATTCAATCAAATTAATGTTTGGCTGATAAAGGTAACTATGGTCCAAAGCAATATAAAACTGATGCCCATCACTATCAACCATATCTATTCTGTCATCTCCACTGCTCACACTTGTAACTGTACCATGATGAACATCTGGAATATCCCTGAACTTTTTGTATTTGTCATCTCTACTGCTCAAACATGTAACTGTACCATGATGAACATTTGGAATTTCCCAGAAATTTTTGTATTGGCCTAAAAAAGAAATTATAAATGTTATAACAAGTACATGTATAAATGATTATTCTTTTTATATATATAAGCAAGTAAGTAAGTGATTAGTTTGTTATAGTGACTTGTGAACATGTATCAATAAATATAACACAATTACAGAGTTTGTATAGTCAATGTTATACCCAGTAAAAACAAATGTTTAAAGTGACTTATAGGTCCAAAGGGACGGGTGTTGATACATGTAATTACAACTGCTTATTGAAATAATGTTTAATATCTTAAAACACATGTCACTATAATAAACAATTTGGTATGGTTTTGTATACAATTGCTGATGAATAAATTTAGAGTGTGTCCACAGAACATGATGCAATGCTTTCACTATCATTTACCATGTTTATTTGACATACAATTTTCAAAGTTCAATTCATAATGACATGAGATGAAGTGTATCAAATTTTAAGTTGATGTGACTGTGAACCTTTACCATAAACTAACTTGACCAAATTCTGATCATGGATAAACAAACAGACAGACCAGAAACCAGTGGCATTCCAGAACTTTTCATAAGGGGGGGCCGCTGACTGACCTAAGGGGAGGGGCCCGCTCTAGTCATGCTTCAGTGATTCCCTATATAATCAACCAAATTTTTCCCATGAAAGGGGGGGCCCGGGCCCCCCAGGGCTCCCCCTGGATCCGCCTATGGAAACAGAATGCTCATGTTCAAAGTGAGCCTCCTCATGGGGATTTACCATATGCGATTACTTGGCTGTTTTTATAGTGAATTTTTTATTACAAGACACAATTTCATGGTTATGTAAATATTTGATAATTAAGGACTGTACATTTGATAACTTTATTATCCTGTTTAAAAAACAAGTTATGATTATGTGATTATATTGACAAAAAATTGTGATTATGTGATTACTTGGGACACCCCCATGAGGGGCCTGCTAAGTAGGCTGTAGCCATATTGTCAATAAATGTGAATTATGTAATCTTGATTTTTTTCATGTACCACTTAAGCTAGAAATTGAAAGGGACAGGATGCCAGTACTACTAGTGGAAGGCATGGCACTTTTTGGTTTAGGAGAGGGCACTGCTCATTTTATTTTGTCTATATTTCTGTGTGTATCTTGGCTTTTTATCACATGCTCACAATGTATTTATCTGTATATCTTGACAAGAAAGATGCATAAGTTGCTGATTTGATTATTTACTCTATTATACAATTCACATTAGATAGGTCATTCATACCAGGGGTGGATCCAGCCATTTTCAAAAGGGGGGAGTTCCCAATCCAGGATAAAGGCGGGGGGGGTTTCAACCATATGTCCCCATTCAAATGCATTGATCGTCACAAAAAAAGGGGGGGTTCCAGACATGGTATTTTTTTCCATAGGAGTGAAATTCTATATATGTCTTATGCGAATAGTATTTACCAGTATACATTTTCCTTTCCATATTTCACAGAACCTTGTGAAATAGACTCCCATTATCTACTATGAAAGGTACTCGCAATCAATATGTACCTGACCATAATTATACATGTTTCACCAAGGTAAAACATATTTGCATAATTTATCAATCAAAGGGAGGTAATTATGAGCCATTTATATTTTACAAATATTATATTCCGTAATCTATTTCATATTGAAATTATTCCTTTATTCTTCATTTTTTATATTAATATATATAAAAAGATGACTTAAAACATGATTAAATAAGACAGAAAATATTTCACAGGTAAATACTATCCAGCTGTTGAAATTGTTTTTGTTCCTATATCTTGTTATGCTATGATTCATGTTTCTAATTTTTCTTTTTGAATTGTCACTTGCTACAATGTGATACTCTTGTGTATTTAGATAGTTAAAAATATCATCATACTCAGATTCCTCCATTACTGTTTACTGTTAACTGTAGTAATGCAACTATATTAATTTTCTACCTTTACTTTTTTTTATTTGTACTGAGATCTGAAAACAAATCACTTTTACCTGTATTTCACTTACCTTATTTTATATATTAAACTGATCATGATATTATTTCACAATTAAGATCTGAGAAATTACTTCTGATTTTGTTTCATATGTTTCATGATAATTGTCTTTTAAAAGAATGATATTTACTTTAATATATTTTTGATTATAATCTGTGAAATTATTTCCCATTATAATACATTTTTTTGATTTTTTATTAACTAGTTTAGCTTATATTAAAATACACTATTATTAGTCCATAGTATTTGCAAAGATTAAGGTTTTTTTTTTAACTATTCAATATTTTAACTTCCCAGATAGAATTTCATGGCAATGGAAAATATATCACAGTGAAATATTTTCCTCTGGATAAAAAAATAACAACTTCTGTAACATTTTTTTCGCTCGATGGGATTTCATCCGGATAGAATTTTGCTTTACACATACTTTGTCATAATGCATGACAATACAAATCCATACATCACATCATTAACATAGATGATGGATCTAAATCAAAATCCATAGAATTTGTCAAAATGTAGTTTATATCATGGTTTTTTTCAAAAATATAATAAAAAGTATGGGCAACTGAGCTTTTTTTCACGATACAGGTTGTACAAAACTGTCAGATTTTGTATAGATTATGCATGGAAAACTATGTTTTTTGGTGATAAAATGAAAATTAAACATTAGAATTTTAAGATTAAATATGAGAAATTAGCTCATTAGAAATTAGCTCTTATAATATGCTTTCAGATAAGTGAAAGAAAAAATGGGAACAGCTGAATTGTTTTCTTGCTACATAATTAAATAGGTAAATTCACAACAAATTCTATTATAAAAGGTACTCTATCTGATTTATCTCCCCTTATAAGACAAAGTTGAAAAATGAATCTCACAAAAATGTTGTGTTTTTTGTAAAATACAGCCTTAAAATATTATAGAACACATAATTTACTCTATAAAAATGAAAAGTCTTACACATGGTTAAAAAACTACGCTTGAACTTTACACATTTCATGAAAGATCTAGACCAATTGTTATCTTATGAGACAACTCTCCACAAGAAAACAAATGACATAGAAATTAAACAACTATAGGTCACCTTACAGCCTTCAACAATGAGCAAAACCCATACCACATATTGAGCTGTAAAAGGCAGAGAAATGACAAATTCGAAAGAATTCAAACGATATAATAAAATGGCATACTTCAGCATAGGCAATACTCTAGCTTTCTTAACATATAAAAACTGCATGCAAAAGTCATATGTTTTGTTGATGGGAGTAAAAATTGAACTGCAAGCTACTGCTCACTGATGATACCCCTGCCCTAATATATATATATACATATATAAACAGGAAGTTGTTGAGTGATGAATCTGAAAACACATCACATGGTATAGCTGACTTATATAAACCCTGAAACCAAATTTCAGAAATCCTTGCATTGTAGTTCCTGAGAAAAATGTGACAAAAATTTTCAACTTGGCTATCACTTGTAAAATTATACAAGTGTTCAGGAAACAGGAAGTTGTTGAGTGATGAATCTGAAAACGCATCATACGGTATAATTGAATCATATAAATCCTGAAACCAAATTTCAGAAATCCTTGTATTGTAGTTCCTGAGAAAAATGTGATGATAATTTTCAACTTGGCTATCATGTCAAATGATACAAGTGTTCAGTAAACAGGAAGTTGTTGAGTGATGAATCTGAAAACACATCATACCATATAGCTGACTTATTTGAAACCCTGAAACCATATTACAGAAATGCTTGTAATGTAGTTCATAAGAGATATGATATGAAAATATTCATGGGATGTACGGAGAGACATAGGTAAAACAGTACACACCCACTTTTTTAAAGCGGGAGGTATAATTATCAATCAATCAAAGGCTGACAAAATTATCAAATTTAAAGAAAGCAACTTTCCATCTAAGCAAAGTCTTTCTCAAATAATTTTAATTATAAGTATATGATATATTAACCTTCAACATGTGCAACTTTAATGTTCTCAGCAACCAACTGATGATTCTCATGCAGACAGACTTCATCAGTAACAGTATCTCCAACAATATCATTGTCAAGAAAATCTGAAAACAATTCAAATATTTTGATATAACTATTAAGGTGGTACCCAACACCTTGACTAATATTAATTTGGCTCGTTTAATTTTCATAAAATTTTGACAAAATGTTGACTTTAACCCTTTGACAAAAATATAAAAATTTCAAAAAATTTGAACCAACCACTTTATCAGAAAAAATTCATTGGTTATATAGCAGTTTGACAAACACTAATTTTGATCATTGAGAAGCTTAATATTTCCTTAACAATACAACGTAATTAAAACGTTTAGCTGATTTTTACAGAGTTATCTTCCTGTAGTGTTAGGTACCACCTTAAGGTTCATATACCTAATAAATTGTATAATGCATGTAGATTACAAATTTTATTAAGATTTTAGACATTCAAATACCTATATCAAACGCTGAATGCTTGTTTTTATAGACTGAATAGTCAATACAGATGCATTTAATCTATACTCTATTTATTAATATACAAAATGTATTAACATTACAAAATTGTAATCACAAACATATAATGCTTCATACATCAAACAGGCATTTACAGGTAGACATTCAGTATTGAGTTTTGCTCATTGTTGAACATTCTTAGGTGACCTTTTGTTTTCAATAATTTTAGGCTTTCCTAGCAATCAATCAATCTCATATATTTCAAAATAGTTCTATGAAAAAACACTATAATGACCATAATAATAGTAAAAGGATAGAGTTCCAATGTCCCCGGCATTCCACATATTTTATCTATCCAAGGTAAAAGGGCAACAACTTGAAAAAAACACTTTGAAACAATTTACAAATCACCTAGAGAAATGAAGGCTTCAGAGAAAATGCAATGCGATTTCATTATTATGAATATTTTGAAGAGAAGTAAGTTGTTAAAAATATTCGATCAGTACTAATTTTCTGAAGTGTCAAAGACATTGCTGATTTAAACCTATGATACATATGTACATTTGAGGGCGCTAACAAGACCAGACGAATGCCAGGTATATTTATGTCCCCTTCAACGCGTTGTACAGTAACCAACAAGTACATGTATTATGTTGGACCAAGAATTCATAAAAATTTTCTGCTGTAAATTTTACCATCAGTATCATGGATTTCATTATCTGGACACTCTAGTTTAACTGAACTGTCTGAAGAGGCCGTAATCCATGTGTCTTTGGATCTCTCACTAACCATGTGTACTAAAATAGACATGAACACATATCTTTAAATAATTCATTAATTCAACATTTCTGTATAAGCAATAAACATGATAAACATATTAAATAAGTATTTAGTTTTAATAACATAAACAGTACCAATTTGTCTGCACCAGATGGGCATTACGACAATCAATGTCTCTTCAGTGAAGCTCGAGGCCAAAATATTTGAAAACCAAAGCTTATTAAAAAGATGAAGAGCTATAAAACAATCAAAGAGCTGATTGCTCTGAGGTGGCAGAAGATGCATAAAAGGTAACTTAAATTACCATAAAAGCAGTCCCACCAACCCAGCCTGCTCTGTCCCATTATTACTTTCGACTTATTTTTTTCTTCCAAAAATAATAATCTTTAATAATACTCTTAACTCAACCAAACTCACTATACCAAACATAAAAATCTACAAATACTGTTGATTCAAATTAAATTTTCTATAACTAAATTCAAAACATTCGTATCAGCATGGTCAACTTGATGCAATGCAAATTCGCCAAGTAATTATAACAGTAATTAATTTGGTTTCACTTGAAAGTTTTCTGTCAAAGGTAGATAGTTAACTTTAAAAAAAAAACTGACCACCAAGATTTTAGTAAAGTTTGCTTAAACTAGGGTTTTCATTATAAACATATATTGTAGAATTCTAAATATATCCATTGAATGCAGATATGTGTCAAGACAGGGATTGGGTTTTGGGCACTTGTTAGCATTTCCAACCCGTTCATTTTCTGTAAGTGCTCGACCCAAATCATATTTGTTTTTCATCTAATATTTTTACACAAAAGTAAGAGGGCAGGAATGCCTTTTTTTCCGCCAGAAGTCACACAGCCCTTTCCTGAAATTTTTCATGAAAATAAAACTGACAGCAACGAATTACTGGTTCCGTACTCAAGCCTCGATAATGGGTGTACCTTTATGACGAATAACAGTAAAGAGCTGGACTATTTAGTTGTTAAACGTTTTTGATCACTAATAAAACTTTGAAACGTAAGCCAATAAAGGCAATCATTGGGGACATTCCGACAATGACCGACATGAAAACTATGTACTTTCGAAATGGAATCTGTCAACTGACATTAGTTTGTTCATTGATATTAATGTCAACTGACGGTGCATTGTTTGATGTGTAAAACACCAGCAGATTCATGTGTGCGCTTGACTCTTTATTATCGCTATAGCATACTAAAATATTTAACTTTCGTATTATAAAAAAAACATATATGTTGTCTAAAACCGGAATATGACTTGATTGCATTAAAGATCTGAACACAGATGGAACAACTAAATCCCTGTATTTTTTCAAGCATCATTCATTTGAAGTCGTACTCTCCATGTAGATACTTGACTTTAACACAAGATGGAATGTATGAATATATGACAACTCGGTCATTATTTTGAAACTTTCGGATGCACAATTAGGTTCCTATATGTGCACATGTGCAGATACGTAACCAATGTGGTCATACAACTGGGAAGTTTAGCAAGCTATAAAACCAGGTTCAATCCACCATTTTCTACATAAGAAAATGCCTGTACAATGTCAGGAATATGACAGTTGTTATCCATTCGTTTGATGTGTTTTAGCTTTTGATTTTGCCATTTGATTAGGGACTTTCCTTTTTGAATTTTCCTCGGAGTTCAGTATTTTCGTGATTTTACTTTTTAGATTAACCTGAATAATCCACTTGTTTTATTCAGATTATTCCAATTATTAATCTATCAAAGACAATTATCACAATAATCAGTGTGAATTATTATAATGACCTATTAATGCTCCAAAAACAGGCCATCAACTTTTAATCATTTCAATTTGTTTTCATGAATTTCGCGAATTCATACCATATAAATATCTGAATAAGTTTATTAAACTTTAACAACCATAATATTAAATTTTTTTAATAAAAGCAAGGACGTATAATACGTCCTTGATTAAAGTATGGAGAAGGAACCAAGGGCGAACAGACTCTATGGGCGAAAGGACTCAGGGTGAACATGTAATCAGGGCGAACCGACCCAATACCAAATTCATGCATGCATACTACCAAATCTACTTAAAAACATCTGGTTACAAGTAAACAAATAACGAGATGAAATCTTATAATTTACATAAATAAAAGGATAGATATTAATACATTAAAACATGAGAAATTATAACACTTACGATAGTGATTGTTTTTCAAGCCTAACAAATAAATTAAATGATGCAGATGCTTAGATCATGTGTAAACATCAGTGTCAAGATATGGCACAGAAGTTGATATGAAATTGTAAAGCACAGAAAAGGATACGGCAACACTCCTGGTAACGGTTCAATGATTTTACAGCCGACAGTAAAGGCTTTCAGAAGACTTGAAGTCTTCTTCCACCAAAAAGGACAAAAAAGTATAGACAAAGCAGGGCAAGGAATCAGAGCTTTGCCTGAGGAAGATACACTCTTTAATTTTAAACAATTTTTTCCAAAATTTTGTAACAGGAAATTTTAAGAACTCAAAATCCGTATTTTCATTCCAGTACTAAAGTACTGGCTACTGGGCCTGAGTAGCACAAACTAGCATATATAAGCTTTTTGACAGTGTCCAATATTAATCTAGTGTGTGTTCAGAAATCTCCATAGTTAAAGTTAAGAGCTTACTTTTCAAATTAAAGGCAAAATATCTTGCTTAAAAGTTAGTTGCTTGGCAAAAATTTCTTCATTATAAGGTTGGATAGAGCAAAATCATTCATTAAATAAATTATATAAACTTTTGCATGTTCCATTTTCAGGATAAAAGTCTAAATTTAGGGAATTATCCAATCATAAAATTTGGCTGCTGTAAATTTTACCATCAATATCATGGATTTCATTATCTGGACATTCTAGTTTAACCGAACTGGCTGAAGAGGTAATCAACCTTTCTCCGGATCTCTCACTAACCATGTCTGCTAAAAATAGAGATGAACACATATTTTTAAATACTTTATTTACTAAATATTAATATATATATTATTACAATAAATAAATATTTAGTTCAACTAGCATAAGTTTATGTGACAGTGTCCAATATTTATCTAGTGTGTGCATGTTCAGAAATCTTCATAATTAAAGTAAAGTAGTTATTTTTTAAATAAAGGCAAAATATCTTGCTTAAACATGTTAAAAGTGAGTTTGTTGGCTGATAATTTCTTAATCATGGGTCTAAGATAATAAAAATCTTTTATTAAATAAATTTTTATTTAATGCACAATTTTTCAGTCCCAATTGTTAATTTTTCCTTTTTTGGATGGGGATGTTCCTTTGGCACCATCTTCCAGCATTTATATATCACAACTCATTCGCTATGCCCATGTCTGTTGTGATGTTTTGGATTTAAATCAACGTAATCTGTGAAATAACTTGTAAATTATTAAGTATGGGATTTCGCTACCACAAATTACTTTTAAAAACCTTTACTAAATTCTTCCATATATATATATATATAGATATAAGGATTTGATTTTGAAGTTTGGTTGTACCTGTAGAAAACTTATTTCAAATGGGATAGCTCACCCTCATTTTTATGGAGATGTTGTTTTATACCGTGCCCAGAAATTTATAAACGATCCTGGAAAACATGGTTAACTTATTAATCCTTTACATAAACTTATTCTAAAAGGTTACTAGTTCAACACTGTAATTAGATCTTTGAACATTGTTTTTATCGGTATGAATATATTTGTTTTCGTTATATGTATTTCTATTTGTATTCATCTGATGAGTTAAGCCTTTTTCAACTGATTTTTATAGTTTGTTTTTATGTTGTTGTACTGTTACAACCCTGTCCATGGTTAGGGGAGGGTTGAATTCCCACTAACATGCTTAACCCTGTCCATGGTTAGGGGAGGGTTGAATTCCCACTAACATGCTTAACCCTGTCCATGGTTAGGGGAGGGTTGAATTCCCACTAACATGCTTAACCCTGTCCATGGTTAGGGGAGGGTTGAATTCCCACTAACATGCTTAACCCTGTCCATGGTTAGGGGAGGGTTGAATTCCCACTAACATGCTTAACCCTGTCCATGGTTAGGGGAGGGTTGAATTCCCACTAACATGCTTAACCCTGTCCATGGTTAGGGGAGGGTTGAATTCCCACTAACATGCTTAACCCTGTCCATGGTTAAGGGAGGGTTGAATTCCCACTAACATGCTTAACCCTGCCCATGGTTAGGGGAGGGTTGAATTCCCACTAACATGCTTAACCCTGTCCATGGTTAGGGGAGGGTTGAATTCCCACTAACATGCTTAACCCTGTCCATGGTTAGGGGAGGGTTGAATTCCCACTAACATGCTTAACCCTGTCCATGGTTAAGGGAGGGTTGAATTCCCACTAACATGCTTAACCCTGCCCATGGTTAGGGGAGGGTTGAATTCCCACTAACATGCTTAACCCTGTCCATGGTTAGGGGAGGGTTGAATACCCACTAACATGCTTAACCCTGCCCATGGTTAGGGGAGGGTTGAATACCCACTAACATGCTTAACCCTGCCCATGGTTAGGGGAGGGTTGAATTCCCACTAACATGCTTAACCCTGTCCATGGTTAGGGGAGGGTTGAATTCCCACTAACATGCTTAACCCTGTCCATGGTTAGGGGAGGGTTGAATTCCCACTAACATGCTTAACCCTGTCCATGGTTAGGGGAGGGTTGAATTCCCACTAACATGCTTAACCCTGTCCATGGTTAGGGGAGGGTTGAATTCCCACTAACATGCTTAACCCTGCCACATTCTGTGTGTATGTGTCTAACCCAAGTTAGGAGCCTGTAATTTAGAGGTTGTCGTTTGTTGCCGTGTTACATATTTGTTTTTCATTCATTTTTTTGTATATAAATTAGGCAGTAAGTTTTCTCGTTTGAATTGTTTTAAATTCGTCATTTCAGGGCCTTTTATAGCTGACTATGAGGTATGGGCTTTAGGCCATACCGTGATCTATAGTTGTTGATTTCTGTGTCATTTGGTCTCGTGTCATACTAGTGAAGAGTTGTCTCATTGGCAATCATACCATACCTTCTTTTTTTTATTCTTGCTTGTTTCTTTTAAAAGGATAAATGTCTAAATTTAGGGATTTATCCAATCATAAAATTTTGCTGCTGTAAATTTTACCATCAATATCGTAGACTTCATTATCTGAACACTCTAGTTTAATTTGACTGTTTGTAGAGGTAATCAAATTGTCTTTGGATCTGTCACTAACCATGCATACTAAAATAGAGATGGACACATATATTGTTTAATAATTTATTTACCCAACATGTTTAACCCCAGCACATTCTGTATGTATGTGCCTGTCCCAAGTCAGGAGCATCTAATTCAGTGGTTGTCGTTTGTAACTGTGTTACATAATTGTTTTTCTTGTTTACTTTTCTGGTTAATTGTTTTACATTGGTCATTTTGAGGCCTTTTATAGCTGACTATGCGGTATGGGCTTTGCTCATTGGTGTACATGGTGTAGCCCGTACAGTGACATATAGCTGTTAATTTCTGTGTCATTTGGTCTCTTGTGGAGAGTTGTCTCATTGGTAATCATACCACATCTCCTTTTTTATACATACAACTCTGTATAAGTAATTAATATATACATGATATATATATTATTTAAATGAATATTCTAGCATAAGCTTATGTGACAGTGACCAATATTTATCGAGTGTTGTGTTTAGAAATCTTCATAATTAAAGTTAACATGGTTAAGAAGTAATTGTCAAAATGTCTTGCTTAAAGTAAGTTGCTTGGCTGAAATTTTTTTTTTATCATGGCCTTTTAAGGCCAGGTCATGTAGGATAAGGAAAATCATTCATTAAATACATGAAAACATTTGCTTTTACCATTTTAAGGATTAATATTTAAATTTAGGTATTTATCTAAAATAAATTATCATTCAACTTAACATATGTACATGATATACCGGTATCATTGTAAATGTTGTTTTCAAATATTTCTACCCATGTACATGATCATGATGATTTTCTATACATGTAGTTACACAGTTTACTAGTGACTTATACGATATACATGTAAATTCCATATGGAGTGAGAGCAGAAAGAGGATTCATTTACATGTTTACAAATGATCATGCATGCACATAATCAATTGGCATGATTAGACACTGTAATTACTAATATGGTAAGTTTGGGGGAATGACATCTCACTAACCCACAGTGTAGATGAGATAGTAGACAACATTGTTCAGCTTTTTCATGAGATTTTATCAACTGGAGTCAGGAAAATCATCATAGGGCCGTCAATTCAAAGGTTCAGAACTAAGTTTATGTCAATATCACAATACAACAACCACTGACAACAGAAGAAAAGTTATCAACTAAAAACTATCAGAAATGTTGAAAGAGGATGACAAAATCAAGTTTTGGTCACACAAATGCTTTGGCCAAAGCCATTACAGAGATGGGATCCACATGACAGACAGAGGAAATGAGGCCTTCTTTTTCAGCATTGGACATGCTCTGAACATTCGTAAAGACTACACATGTTAAGTGATAAATTATGCAGTTAATACAAATATATTTTAAATAAACTTTATATGACATTGATATTTTTCATTTATTTATTTTACTTACATATAATATAAAAAATAAATACCTTTATGCTTTAATCGAAAATGACCCTTTCTTCTTTGGCTAACCCGACACTTCTTCCGAGTCATCTCCCTGGAAATAAAAATAATTTATTGAGAATTCACATTACCACGAATTCAATACATACAGGGTAAAAAATCTAATTAAATGTAAAACCAGGTCATGCTACTTTAAAACAAACAAGATTATTATCGAGAAAAGGAAAAATCAATTATTAAAAAAACACACTATATGTACAAGGGAGTTAGAGTGAAGTGACATGTAAAGTACATGCATATATGCTATGCATGATTCCTTAATAGACTATTTTCATATTACCGACTTTTGACTCCAAATTATATAATTTGTCGACTGGTTACCTTGGACATCATGGTACTCGGTCAAGTAAGAGCAACCAAAATAAGTAAAATCAAACATATAATCGGTGTAATTTGAGGGGAAAGTTTACTGTTTTCCGATGATTTTGTAGTGAAAAAAAAATATTAACCAGGTAATTTTCCCCCAAAATTGTACCGATTGAAAGCTTGGTTTTACTTCTTTAGCTTGCTCTTACCTGACTTGGTACCATGATGTCCAAGGTAACCAGTCGACAAATTATATAATCCGGAGTCGGTAATATGAAAACAGTCTATTATTACACAAATGATGAAGACAGCCCTTTTCAAAGGCAATATATTGTCAACTTGTTGAAAAAATATTGTCACAATAACATTGAATCAACATTTTGCAGAATACTTAGAAAAATTAACATGAATATATGTACATACATTACAAAAACAGTGATTTCTTTTTAAAAAAGTATTTGGTGAAAATGGGGGTACATACTTAACAAGATGACAGCCACTTTAATTTCATAACAGAAATAACACCAAATTCATGGGTCCATATTTCTTAAAAAATCTGAGAAAACTTTTTAAAAATAGAATATTACAATGACAAAATGTATTAAGTTTTATAAAAATGTTACTTCATTAAGCTAGGACATATAGTTTGGAAGAACACTTCGTGAAATGGGGGTACATACTTAACAAGATGACAGCCACTATAATTTCATAACAGAAATCACACCAAATTCATGGGTCTATATTTCTTAAATAAATTGCTTCGCTGAGCGCAGCTGGATACGACCGCAGAGGTCCATACCTGAACAGTTGGGGCAAAAATGGACACAATATTCGCACTTGATACAGGTCTGAATTTGGATTGTAATTAAATATTTGACACATAATAGGTTTCTGACACAGAATAACTGTAGTCAAAGAACTTGAATTGGTTATGTGATTTGAATTTATATTCATTTTTTGCTTTTGTGCAATACACTATGCTGTTGCGAATTGACCCCCCTCCTCCCCCCCCCCCAAAAAAAAAATGTTTACCCCCCCCCCCCCCCCCCCCCCCCCTTTTTTTTGCAAAAAAAAAATATTTAAAGTAATTTTCTTTTTAATTTCTGAATTCTTGAGAACAAATTGTCCCCACCCCCATCCCCCAAAGTTTTTTAACCTCCCCCCCTTTTGCCAAAAAAAAAATCTTTACCTCAAGATATGGTCATAATCTCAATTCAAATTTCCAATGGAGTTTGCAACCATAATAACCCATTTAAATACATCATAAAATCATCAAAACATAAATTGTGTTTGGATTACCTCCCTTACACTGCTTTTAAATTATGTTTTGTACTTAAGTAATTGTCCATTAACCAGGACACCCTTGTTTTTCCCCCTTTTTTGCCCCTAATTCCTAAATGGTTTGAGCCCTGACCCCCAAAGCTAATTTTTACCATCCCTTTGTGGTTTGGAAACTTGTGGTATAATTTCAGAGAGATCCATACACCATATTCCACAAGTTATTATCTGGAAACTAGAAAAATGTTTATTTGGGCCCCTTTTTGGCCCCTAATTCCTAAACTGTTGGGACCATAGCCCCCAAAATCAGTCCCAACCTTCCTTTTGTGGTCATAAACCTTGTGTTTAAATTTCATAGATTTCTATTTACTTATACTAAAGTTATTGTGTGAAAACCAAATGTCTTCGGACTACGACGACGACATGATACCAATATACGACCGCAAAATTTTTTGCGGTCATATAAAAATCTGAGAAAACTTTTTAAAAATAGAATATTACAATGACAAAATGTTTTAGGTTCATGAAAATGTTACTTCATTAAGCTAGGACATATAGTTTTGAAGAACACTTCGTGAAAATGGGGGTACATACTTAAAAAGATGACAGCCACTATTAATTTCATAACAGAAATAACACCAAATTCATGGGTCCATATTTCTTCAAAAATCTGAGAAAACTTTTTAAAAACAGAATTTTACAATGACAAAATGTATAAAGTTTCATAAAAATGTGACTTCATTAAGCTAGGACATATAATTTTGAAAAACACTTTGTGAAAATGGGGGTACATACTTAAAACAAGATGGCGGCCACACGAAATTTACAAATTAAATACCACCAAGTTCAGGGTCTATATCTTTTTTAAAATAAGAAAAATCTTTTCAAAAGTAGCATTTTACAATGACAAAATGTATATTATTTGATAAAAAAGTCACACTATGGAACTTGAACTGAAGGTATCAATGAACACTCAACGCAAAGTATGGGTCACACACAATAAAAAAAAGTCACACGCAAAATATGATAAACAAAATAAAACCATCAGAATTTCGCATTATCCTCCCAACATGCCCAACTGAGTGATGTTTTGTAAATTTTTAAAACAAGGGAGGTGAAGGCGTTGTTTTTGCATTTGCTGTTTACCTTTTTTCGGTTTAGAACATTGCTTTAAATCACAAATACTTACTCTTGAAATGCAACCGACAATATCAAAAGTAAAGTCACGTGACTTCAGCGACGGCACAGTTCTGTATGCAAAATTGTATAGACAGTGTTACAGAGTCAGAGACGAGTCCCATTAGTATAGAAAGTCCCTGGGTTTGGTCAGTAAATTAAGTCTATAACTGCACATACTTAATTTATAGTGCCTCTGAATAGTGCCTATAAACAAACATTTAAATTATAAAGTTTCACATCTTATTTTCATACTTACTGAAATATAGCTCTCTTCAATCAGATCAAATCAGTCAGATATTGTTAATTTATCATTATCATCATCAACCTTCCCTGACTGTCTTAAGGAAGCTCAAGTTGCACCTATTCACAAAAAGAAGTAAAAGTCACGTGACTTCAGCGACGGCACAGTTCTGTATGCAAAATTGTATAGACAGTGTTACAGAGTCAGAGACGAGTCCCATTAGTATAGAAAGTCCCTGGGTTTGGTCAGTAAATTAAGTCTATAACTGCACATACTTAATTTATAGTGCCTCTGAGTAGTGCCTATAAACAAACATTTAAATTATGAAGTTTCACATCTTATTTTCATACTTACTGAAATATAGCTCTCTTCAATCAGATCAAATCAGTCAGATATTGTTAATTTATCATTATCATCATCAACCTTCCCTGACCGTCTTAAGGAAGCTCAAGTTGCACCTATTCACAAAAAGAATAGTGTATTAGAAAAAGGAAATTATAGACCGGTAAGTGTATTACCGGCAATTTCTAAAAACATTTAAAATGCCATTGAAGTACAATTTGTTCATTACCGTGATAATATCTTCAATCCATTTTTGGCAGCTTTTAGATTAGGTTTTGGATGTCAGTCAACTTTATTAAGAGTGATTGAAGATTGGAAATTAGCCTTAGATCAAAATAAATTCCTTGCAGCTATCCTTATGGACCTGTCAAAAGCATTTGACTGTCTCCCCCATGACTTACTGCTACTGAAACTAAAAGCTTACGGTCTTTCCAAATCCTCACTTGATATGTTATATAGTTATTCAACAAAAAGAAAACAGTGTGTGAAAGTATACCAAAATTTAAGTGGTATGCTTGACATATTTAAAGGGTACCACAAGGTTCCATCCTTGGACCCATCCTATTTAATATTTTTATAAATGATTTGTTCTTTTTTGTAAAAAATTGTTCTTTATATAATTATGCTGATGACAATACTTTGTCAAAGTCTGGAAATTCCTTACAAGATGTAAATTCTGCTCTTGAGGAAGACAGCAATTATTTAACATGTTTAATACAGTGGTTTTCTTCAAACAAAATGCAGGCCAACCCAGAGAAATTTCAAGCTATCTCTCTTTGCAAAAAAACACATGATAAAAAGATTGTTTGATTTGAATGGTATTTCTATATCATGTGAGGATGAGATAAAACTACTTGGAGTTACAATGTACAATTGATTTTAAACTAAACTTCAGCTTGCATATTTCAAATATTTGTAAAAAGGCTGCAAGGCAATTAAATATTTTGAAAAGAATTGGGAAACACCTAAACAAACTGAGTACACTTACAATTTATTACTCTTTTATTATGTCAAACTTTAGTTACTGCCCTTTGACCTGGCATTTCCATGATTTCTGTGGGGAACAAAATACCAGAAAAATAGAAAAAATACAAGAACGAGCGCTTCGCTTTATTTATGAAGACTATCAGAACTCATACAAAACACTCCTGCAGATTTCAAACCTTCCATCACTAAAAACTCTTAGGATGCGCTCAATTGCCTTGGAGTCCTTTAAAATAATTAATAAAAAATGTCCATTATCATGATTATTTCTAGTTGTTATAAAAAAACAATTCATATAATTTCAGGTATGTGAACACTGCTGAGGGACCTAGAACCTCAAGTTATGGTAAAAGATCCTTTAGATTTGAGCATAGATGTATAAACCCATAGATGAAGTTCAACACTGACTTCAAAGGTTCTATGTGCGTTGTAATGGCTTTCACACTTATCTGATAATGACATGAACCAGTAGGTCATTGAGATGCTGATTGACAATCTAGACAATAGAAAACTGACAATCAAAAGCTACTTAGCAGTTAAACATGCTAGAAATTAGAAATAAATAAAATCAAAATATATATTTTAGAATGACTTGGTTATGAAAAAATAATGTTCTTGTAGGTAAAACAATATAACAAATTATCTCGAAAAGAAATTAATAAATACAGATATCTTTTTCTTTTTAGCCAGAACTAATTTTTTCATCATACTTACATATTTACATTTTTAATTTTATATCTTTTATCACAATTTAACTTTATTTAAAACAATGTATGTTAACTATTATAAACAAGTCTATTGAAAATATGATTAATAGAAAACATGGGAAAAGTTGAATATATGCTCAATAATATTTATTTACCATGCTTTACATGGAATGTTTTGGTACTACACTAAAACTCTTTACTTAAACTAATTTAATATTATATATAAAATATCAAATTATTATAATTTAGCCATAGATGTATAAAATACATCTATGATTTAGTAACTAACTTATTCATAAAAATATAAAAATGATTTAAAAAGACAATTTCTCTTCTAAAAATGTAGAAAATCTGATGAAATAAAGAAAAGAATGTACTTTCTTATTATTTTTTTCCCAAATTCGACGCAGTTCGACACCTTAATGAAGCATATCAAAGAGAAGGTGTATTTTAGAAGTTCAACAACGTGCTATTCCCATTTTCAGGAACTAACAGGAACATAGTTTTTATAAAATATAAAGATACAAGCCTTAAAAAAACATTTTTTTAATTTAGTTCAATATTTTCCTTGTAAAATGCTCAATTTCTGACCGATTTCATCCATTTTTTCACCATTTTATTTGTCTGTCTAGTGCGCTAAAAATAGACATACTCTCACAACAGAAGGGACATAACTCGAGAAGAAAATTAAGAAAATTTATTCTGCTGTACTGGTCAATACAGATCAACAGATAAGAGATGTAGCTAGAGTTACTTGATTGAGGACAACACACATGAAACATCAAAGACAGTCAATTTGGTCATGGTTCTTTTCATCTAACAATAGAGAACAGTAGGGAACTTTTGACGAGCTTTATCTATGGGTTTATACATCTATGATTTGAGGCAGCACAAGTATGGAACTCCCTTCCCAATGAGGCTAGATTATTATGACCTATTTTGACCAATTTAGGAATTATATAAATTCCTGGTGTTGGGGTCAAAAATGCAACTGCAGTTCATGCTGTTTCCATCCAGTGCTGTTTCAAAGCTCAAATTTCTTTCTTTGTTTTTATTTTTTATTATGACCTTTTGCTCTGCTTTTTATGCATTTATTATATATATACCTGCTATTAAATGCCAGTGCTTAATTAATAATTTATTTATTCATTGATTTTATGCTTTTTAGTTTGTTAGTATTTTATAATATTAAAGTGTTTGCTGGTTCCCCCATTCAATGCACATAGAGGTGCTTGCCGCATGAGCTTTGACTCTGGAGGCTCAGAAATCAATATCATTATATTTGCATGCTTTTTCATTTTTATTCACTAGTATGTGCATGATGCTGCATGACTTTTATGTGATAGTCGGTTAAAGAGCTCATGTTTTGTCTGTTATTATGTATATATATGCCGACTCTAAATAAAATTTACTTACTTACTTACTTTGTATTATTTTCACTTTCAACAATGGCGGATCCAGATCTCTTTTCCGGAAAAAATACACATTTGAACCTATATCGATGGAAAGGTTAATGTACTTTTCGGGTTTAACCAATCAATGCTAGTGTCACACAGCTTCCAAATGTCACAAAATAGGTCTATTGAATTCGTCAAAAAAGGAGAACAAATCATAAGGTGATTCAATCAATAAGCTTATGTTGTACTACAAAACAACCATTACCTATATAATAAGGGTTACACTAATGTCCTGAAAAAGTCCTGGCCGATATGAAATGCTAAATACTTTTTTGTTATTGAAAGGAATGACTTTAAATTTGGAACAAAGCAAGATGACAACATTTAAAAATAAATACACGAAAAAAAATAAAAAATAGCTTTGCCAGACATCATAATTATTTGGACTAGCCAGGGATATTCTCTCATGCTAGAGCAGAGGTGGATTATTTATTTATTGGTTAAGAGGGTTTTTCACGGGGGTCGGGCCCACCTTTTGTGGGAAAAAAATTAGTTGATTATATAGGGAATCACTGAAGCATGACTGGAGAAGGCCCCCTCTTAGGCAGTCAGTGCCCCATCCCCCCCCTTATGAAAATTTCTGGATCCGCCACTGCAGAGTCATCTCAATCTGTCCCAATTGAGTAGATTCAACCCACATTTAAAGTCGATCTTGTCCCAATTCAAATACAATATTTACAAGGGCTAAAGATTACAACATAAGTGTACCCATGCAAATTGAACCTATTTTGACAGTTTTTTCACATATGGCTATGTTCATTAATGATCCAGACAAAGGTTTCCATTGTGTGTTTATTTTGTAGATGTATCCTTATTCACTATATAGTTCCACCAATTTAATTTTGAATCAATATTGAATCAGAAATAGGGTTTGAACTGACCTCCAAACGAACCATATTTGGAATAATTTGACAACAGTCCATGCTTACTAGTAATTTTAAAGAAATGGATGCCTGTAACATACATGTTGTGCATGACATATTCAGTCAGGGAACTTACTGAAATAAGTGATTTAAAAATCACTTATTTAAGTAGCAAATTTGAAGTACATGTATGATCTAATGAAAACTGTCAACATGGTCAAAGAATTTGAAAATAAACAAAATTAGTTATTCTAAAGATTTCCTGCCTTTTGAAAGACAAAACTGATAACTGCTTTTCGTTACTTCATTATGACCTTTTCCAGTTATCTAGGCATATTATATATACCATTATTCATACCGTATATCGGGTTTTTTTGCGAATTGATGACAAAATGGGCAGGTTAAATTTTCACTGTGTATAATTTTCGCTAAATGGGAAAATACACATGTACATGCCAAATAATCACGTATATATATATATATATATATATATATTTTCATGATACTCTTTGGTAGTCAGACAATATGAATTTGCTGGAAATTGTATGATTTACAACATAGACATGATGGAAGCCTCTGTCACTGTGTCATCAAGGTAATGTGCAAGTGCAATAAGAAGTAATAATTCAAAAGATTTCATTAAGTTACAAGACCCAAAGAACTTTATTTCTCAATGCTTCAGGCTTCAGGAAAAAAAAGAGTCATTAAAAACCTATTGCAAATCTACATTTATCATATTTATAGTGTTTACACTGTGCCATGTTTACAGAATTCTGCACTTTGAGGTTTCTGAGATTATCCTGCACATTAAGCACACACATGCATGTGTACTTTGAGGTTTCTGAGATTTTCCTGCACATTAAGCACACACATGCATGTGTACTTTGAGGTTTCTGAGATTTTCCTGCACATTAAGCACACACATGCATGTGTACCTACATGTTTGTCATCAGTTAAGGAGCAACCATTTAACTTAAAAGGGGGGGGGGGTTATGGTTTTTTTGTCAGAGTCAGAAATTTTTGTAGCGCACATTTTTTTTTTAGGTTTCGTCGCTATCAATCAAATTATTTTTTTTCAAAATTTATCACTCCAAGGTATGGGGGAAATCTGGATTTAGAATATTTTTTTTTGTCACCTGCATGACCACAATATTTTTGTTAATCAAATTAGGGATCAGAATATTTTTTTTTAGGAAAAAAACACACCCCTCCCCCCTCCCCCCCCTTGAAGTTAAATGGTTGTTCCCTTAGACAAAACAATAATTATCACTTTTACACACAAATTGAACCTCAGAAAGAAGCATTTTGCATATATCAAGATTGAAATGTAATCATAGTCAATGTGTGACCTCTGCTTATAATTTTAACAGAAATACATGTATATATTCTAGGACCAGTAACTGACCCTTTGTGAAGCTGTGCCTATTTGGATACAACAGAATGTCACTAGATACTTGGAGTGAAGTTTGTCTTAATATTACCAATGATGTCCAAGATGAAGCAAGCTGTGAAGGTACAAAATATTATGTTGTCATAAAAAATGTTGACAAGATGAGTGAACAGAATCATGGGACTAATGATATGTTATTGATATATATATATGTATATATACATTGCACCAGTAATATGGCAAAAGAAAATGACTATGGTCAAGGAATAAGTCCAGTAAACATGCAGACAATGGTAACCGAAATAAAGAGCATGAGATTTGTCAAAAAAAAAGTTCAGGTGCTCTTTTCACATAAAAAATACTTGTAAATCATGAATATTTCAGTGTAACCATGGTAACTTACCATCAATTTACATCATATAAGATTTTTTTTGTGAAAAAAGTTATTGGTCATGAAAAATCTTAATCATTGTAATCAATACAGATTTAATGATTTAGGTAAAAACATGAGGTGGGAATCAGGCAAAATTACATTAAAATGTATAACTTTGATAACTATGGTAACGACACGCTTGATGTCACAAATCTTTACTTTGATTGGACAAAAAAACGAAATTAAACAAAAAATCAACAAAAAAAGATATATGCTCCAATAAAAGAAAAACATTTATACGGACAAAAAAATCAAACTTAAAAATGAAATTATCCAGATAAATGAAAATAAATTCTGTTGAAGATGGGGTCATTATCACCACTGTCAAATTGTTTGGATTTTGTAGGCTTAGCCTTTTATACAGGAGTACCGGTAGGTAAATATCACTTACAGGTTTAATTATTAGATCTACTAGGTCAATTAGGCTATGAATAGCTCGAGTGCTATAAATATATCTTACTGCCTGAAATTTTCAAGGGGTATCAATAATCTCAAAGAGTAAAATATATTATACTGTCTGTCCATCATGTCCATGTTTCCCTCCTTATGTCCAATGAAATTTTCATCATATTTTGCAAGAACTACGAATCAGAGCTTTCAGAAATTTGGTAGAAAGCTTCGTGTGATTATTCTATACCATGTGATGCATTTTCATTTTCTTCCATGTATAAAATGTTCTCAGGATCTACATGTATGAATCACAGCTTTCTGAAATTGAGTTTCAAGCTGTGATGCATTTTCACATCTATTACTAATAAACTTCCTAATGACAGAATACACTTATTGCGGGGCTACAATTAGAAGTAGCTCACAGTTCAACTTGTAAGTTACCCCTAAAACCAGATACACCATATTTTTTGACACAATAAATAATTGGAAAAAACAATTATTAAAATTTAGTACAGTACTGTAGTTAGATATTCACACTTTTCATTTGTACAGATAATGAGAAAGCAAATAGGGTCCAATCAATGGAAGTTACATGTAATGGACAGAATATAGAAAATGAATCCATTGAAGATACTGGACTTAATGGAAAAGATATAAATGTTAAATCAAGTGGTAACATAACAGATATAAAAAATGAATCTGTCAAAGATATTGGAGAAGATATAGAAGATTTATCTGAAAGAAGAGATGTAAAAGAGAAATCGATTGGCGATAAAGGAATAGAGGAAAAAGATAAATTGATTGAGGATAAACATGATAAAGGAATAGATGAAAAAGATAAATTGACTGAGGATAAAGGAAAAGATGAAAAAGATAAATTGACTGAGGATAAAGGAAAAGATGAAAAAGATGAATCCATTGAAGATAAAGTAGAAGATATAACAGATGAATCCATTGAAGATAAAGTAGAAGATATAACAGATGAATCCATTGAAGATAAAGTAGAAGATATTACAGATGAATCCATTGAAGATAAAGAGAGAAATATAAAAGATAAGTTCATTGAAGATAAAGAAAGAGATGTAAAAGATGAATCATTTCGAGACATAGCTGATAGTTCCTCGGATTCCAGTGAATTTGAAAGTACTATTGATCCCCCTTGTGAAAAGTGTGGGAAAAAATTAGGAAATAGAGTCCTCACTAAAAGTGATCCTAAGGTTGATACAAATAAAGTCCTTTCTAAAACATGTAAAAGGGATTCTAAGGTTGGTACTGGAGATACAAGTAGTATGTGCATAGCTTGCAGGCAGGACATTTTGTACAGAAATTCTGTAACTGACTTCGTTGACTCAGAAACTGAAGATAAAACCTTTATGTGTAAAATATGTCAGAAAATATTTACAACTCAATCTTATATTAGGAGGCATGTTAATAGGCATGCAGGAAAAAGGAAATATACATGTCAAATTTGTGACAAAATATTTACTCAAAACTCAGACCTAAAAAGGCATGCAAGGACACACACAAAGGAAAGACCTTACTTTTGTAGTACATGTGGGAAAAAGTTTAATCAAGTATCAAACTTAAAAACACATTGCCTAATACACGAAGAGCAAAAGCCATTTATCTGTGATCATTGTGGTAAGGGGTATACCCAGTTAGCAAACTTGCAAGCTCATCTTAATGTGCACAAAGGTCATAAAATTCATATTTGTGAATCCTGTGGCAAAGGATTTTCTACAACATCCCAGTTGAAATCTCACGTACGAGTCCATACTGGTGAAAAAGCATTTTGTTGTCATACATGTGACCAACATTTTCCTACCAAGTATCAACTTAAGAGCCATTACCAAATGCATTCTGGGGAGAAACCCTTTAAGTGTCAAATTTGTGACAAAGGATTTTATCAGAGTTGTGACTTAACGAGACATAAAAAAGTACATACAGGTGAAAAACCATATAAATGTAAGAAATGTGGTTATAGCTGCTCACAGAAATCATCACTCAAGATACATGATCGATCACATACTGGTGAAAAGCCACATTGCTGTGATGTTTGTGGTAAAGGTTTCGCTCAGTCTTATTCTCTTGTATGCCATATTCGAACTCATACAAAAGAAAAACCCTATGTTTGTATTTTATGTGGTAGAGGGTTTGCCCAATCTGCAAATCTTAATTCACATTTTGCAACACACAAAAGTCATAAAGACAGTGATGTGGTCCCACCTAAAGTCTAGTACAAGTTTAGATCAGCCAAAGAGTTACATGTACCCGAAACAAGTTTTTTTTAATTACATGTGTATATGGTACATATAAGATGGAGCCATTGTAGTCAAAATATTTGCATTCTTAAGAGTTCTCTCTTTATTTCAGCTGGTCACTTTGAAAATAATTTTATCTCTAAAAGAAAGAAATTTTTAACTGTGAAAATCAGTGAAATCTATGTTAGATTACCATTTACTTATTTGTCTGCATATTTGAATTATTAATTCTAGGACACCTTGTTTTAAGTAATCAGGAAGAATGAACTTGATAAAGACCAATATGAAAAATCCTGAAAATGTTATGTTAAATTTTTATCACTTTGAAAAATCACATGTATTTAAATGTTTTTTTTTTTAATACAAGAAAAAAAAATAAAATGCAGAAAACAGAAACTTGATTTTAGGTCAGGTCAAGGATATAAATGACAAGAACATAGTGATGATAGTTGAATTATATTTGGATATATTTCAATAAACTGTACTAATAAAAATATACATGTACATGCAAATTTAGACATGCCAGGGATAGAAATGAAATCCTGTGAAATTCTGTAATAGGAAAGTATATATGCATGTACATGTATGAAGTATAGAAAATGCATAAATTTTATGTATAGTCGTGATAGTGTTTAACAGTAAATTGATATAAGGAGTTTGACTATTGTTGACTGAAAGCTGCAAACACATGAAACAGTATCTTCTTTTTTTTACAAAAAGAAGTACCTCAACATTTTCTATGTGTCAATAAAGTAAAATTTCTTTGGAAGAATTTGAGTCAAAATGGAGTAAAAAAAAGATATGAAGACATAGATATTTTAAGTAAAATGAGTATAAAAACAATTCATGTATATATTGTCAAAATCTGTAATTTCATTGCACTCTCTGAGAAATAGGAGAGAAATACTCTGTGGGCCTTTTTACTGGTTCAAATAAATTCTATAAATTTTATCTTTTTAATTCCATTATTGTAGTGTATGAGTATTTGTAAATGTATATATATTAAAATATACAAAGTCATTATACATGTTTTAAGAGCGATCATGTCTGCAAAAAGCCTTTTGTTATTTTACCATGGAATAGAGAATGGAAAGGGGGAAATGTCAAGAGACAACAACCTGATCAAAGAGCAGAAAACAGACCTAGGCCACCAATGGGTCTTCAACACATGGAGACAACCCCCTACCCAGAGACGTGCTTCAGCTGGCCCCCTAACATGACATATTCACTTTTAATCGTATATTTTTAGACCCTGGAGATAAGACATACATGTAGATACCTCTTTGTAGGAGCACATTCATCATCGTTTGTATCAACCATAGTTTAACCATGTCAGAAAATTTACTTATGCTGAAACCAAGGTGACTGATTATTTCTTTTACTTCATTTCATACAAATAGACGAACTATTCAAAATTAATTCTGCTCCTTAGTTACCTCCTGTATATTGGACAGGTCAATATTATTAGAATTATAAAGGAGGACAAAAAACGGAAGAGGTATGAAAAGAGCCAGTTATTGGATTTTGAAATTGCAAATTTAGGCAATTTTTTTTTTATGCTAATGTGACTGATGAATGAATAGGATTACATTATCTGGACCCTTTAATGCATAATAGTCACATGTAATTACTATGGTATCATAATTATTTACCTGGAAATTGACCTAAAATTCATAGTTTTTGGCAACATCAATTATGAACCAAGGACTTGAACAAGAAGGATAACATATCCTTATTAAGATCTTTTTCAGGGGAACAGCTTAAACAAGTTATTTTAAGCTCATCTGGTCCTAAAGGCCACACTAGTGAGCCTTTGTCATCGCTTGGTTTCTGTGACAGTCATCTTCTTGTCATTCGTTGCCTGTTGTTAATTTTGATGCCCCCTCTAGCGATTAAGGTTTACCCTTGTCCGTCAGTACGTCTGTACGTCCTGAAATTGGCTTCCATTTCCTTACTTTAGTTTCCCTTGACCAAATATTATGAAATTATACACAAAGCTTATTACCACAAAACACACATCAAGTTGTAATTGGGTTGGCGTCACTTGTACTGTTCCTGAGTTATGCCCCTTTATAAATGGAAAAATTGCAGAATTTTTCGTTTTTGTTCTCTAACTTTAGTTTGCCTTAATCAAATGCTATGAAACTTATACGCAATGCTTATTACCATAAAACACAGATCAAGTTTGAATTTGGGAGGCGTCACTTTTACAGTTCTTTAGTTATGTCCCTTTATAATGTTTTATGCAAGCGGGGGCATCATCTGTGTCCCATGGACACATTCTCAATTTATTTTTGAAATCTTCTCAAAAACTGATGAACTCTTTCAATTGAAATTTTACGTGATTGCTTATAAGGATTTCTAGATTTTCATTTGGTTTTTGAATTATGTCATGGTCCATCAACCAACCTGGACGATGTTACTAAAAATGGAACATACATATAGGGTTGATATGTAAGTAGTTGTCTAATTTCTTGAAAACCATAATAGAGAAAATCTGATAGGATGAAAATGTTCAGAAATGTCAAGGTCGGCCTATATTTCAAGCTCACTTGGCCAAAAGTGCCAGTGTAAGCTTTTGTCATCACTTGCCGTCTGTCATTGTCCTCGTCCGTTAAAATCATAACTTTTACAAAAATCTCCTTTGAAACTCTTTGGCCAAATTGAATCAAACTTTGCCTCAATCATCCTTAGGGTATCTAGTTTTACACATGTGTCTGATAATCCTGCCAGCCAACTAGCATGGCCACCAAGGCTAAAACTAGAACGTAGGGATAAAATGCAAGTACATTGCTGTATTGCCTTTAAAACCATTAAAGAAAGAGAAAATCAGACAGAACAAAAATTTTCAGAATGTCAAACTCTACATACTGTCTCTTTTGACTAAAATGGGCAGAAGACTCTTTATAGGAGTTATCGTCCTTTAATGACGATTTAGTTGACAATGTCAAGCGACTCCTTGTAGAAGTCATTACCCTTACATGACACTTTTTACCAGTTTTATAAGCTCACCTGACATCAGGTAATCGTTTTATATCACTTGTCATCCTTCGTTTTCTGTGACCCGTCGTCATTTAAGGTAGAATTTTAGACTTATACCGCCATCTTGGATTGTAAAATAGCAGTTCACAATCGGTCTTGTTCTTCGCTTATATCTGCAAATTTTCAGACAGATTGGCAATTAATGTGTTAGACTTTTTATTGGAATAGAGAAAAATAAGTGATTTATTGTATTATTTAGACTATTTAACTTATACCAAATATTTGTTTTTGTTCGATTCAAATTTTCAACTTTGCCATTTAAAGGGAGATAACTCAAATAGTAAATTGTTTATAAAGGAATGGTAGAGAAATTTTCATTTTTTTGTTCGGTGACACGATTTTTTATTTTTATTTTCTAAAAGCATATTATCAAACATATCTTCTCATATTTTATTTCAAAATGATTGTACAAAATCTAGTGGCAGTACATTATTTCCACTTTCTCGGTCAAACTGAGCAAAGGTCTTGAATAGGAGACTTTGTTAGTGCTGATAATCTCAATAATTTGGCTTAAAGCTGCCAAATCAACAGAATAACATCTAAAGCCAATGGAGCGTTGTCTTGTTCCCTTTGAGAAAAATCAACAATGTCGACACACGAACTGATTAATATAGGCCGCCGAAATATAACAATTTCAATATTTAAAGGTAGTTCGAATATTTGTAATTTAAATTATACAATTATTAAGTGCTTGATAAAAACTGGAGACATTGACAACTCCCTAGTAGATAGATTAAGTTTTGGTATTTAACGCCACTTTTAGCATTCTTGATTATATCGTTGCGGCCATTTTTTATTGGTGGAGGAAGCCGTGGTGTCCGGAGAGAAACACAAACCTTCTTAGTCAATTAAGAATGGAGTCAAACACACATGCCACGTGTGATATTCAATCACACAACCTCAGTGTTGACAGACTAGTGATACTGTAGATAAAATACTTAGACCACTCGATCCCCTCCATAAATGATGTTTTGTGCATGGTATATACTACTGTTGTTTATTTTCATCTAAAATAGTTTTGCATTAGTTCCCAATACAATATGGATGATGCAGGGGCGGATCCAGCCATTTTTAAAGGGGGGTCCAACCATATGTACCCATTCAAAAGCATTGATCGTCAAAAAAAAGGTCCCCTTATATGATTCATCTGTAATGTCGTGGGTTAACCTGACCTCGACCTCAATTCATGGATCAGTGATCAAGGTTAAAGTTACGTGATTAGGTCCGTTTCTCAGATACTACAAGCAGCAGGTCAACTATATGTTGTGTATGGAATGATTGTAAGGGGTACATGTCAAACTGTCAGGTTTCATCTGACCTTGACCTCATTTTCATGGTTCATTGGTCATTGTTAATTTTTTGTGTTTTGGATTGTTTTTCAAGTACTGTTAGCAATAGGTCAACTTTATTTGGTGTTTGGAATGATTGTAAGGTGTACATGTCTTTCTAGCTAGTGTCATCTGACCTTGACCTCATTTTAATAGTTTATTGGTCATTGTTAATTGTTATGTGTTTTGATCAGTTTTTCAAGTACTATAAGCAATAGGTTAACTATATTTGGTTTATGGAATGACTGTTAGGTGTACATGTCTGTCTACCCGGTGCCATCTGACCTTGACCTCATTTCCATGGTTCATTGGTCATTGTTAATTGTTTTGTGTTTTGGTCAGTTTTTCAAGTACTGTAAGCAATAGGTCAACTATATTTGGTGTATGGAATGATGGTAAAGTGTACATGTCTGTCTAGCTGCTGTCATCAGACCTTGACCTCATTATCATGGTCCGTTGGTCGATGTTAAATTTTTGTGTTTTGGTCTGTTTTTCGATTACCATAAGCAATGGATCAACTATATTTGGTGTATGGAATAATTGTAAGGTGTGCATGTCTGTGTGACAGTTTTTATCTGACCTTGACCTCATTGTCATGGATCTTTAAGAATGTTAAGTTTATGTGATACTTGTAGTAAAACCTTTATCTTTAAGACTTTCGACATCAAATCAATGGTCAGTAAAACAGGCGAGACATTTCAGCGTGTGCACTCTTGTTGTGATTTATAGTATCTATTTATCTATCATATTTTTTATCATATAAGGCAAAACGCAAAACAAATGGTAAAAATCGTCATAAAAGGGCAATTTGTGAACTTTCCATTTCTAAGTAGCAATTTCCAGCAGCGCCTGCGTATGGAGGATATATCTCCCAGTTGATACGATATTCAAGGGCTTGCGTTTCCTATCATGATTTCCCTGATAGAGGGTTGCTGTTCACAAGGAAACTATTAAACCAAGAGTTCCAAGTAATAAAGTTGAAATCATCTCTTCAAAAATTTTACGGACGCCATTACGAAGTGATTGATCGTTATGGTATGGAATATCTGTTTCACAGATGACGACGGATATGTTCCAATCGTCGTAGCCAAAACTCCTTCCTCCTTTTCTTCGAATGTGCCTACCGAATTAAACATCACCGGGTATGCAATTACATGAACAACACGACGGGTGCCATATGTGGAGCAGGATATGTTTACCCTTCCGGAGCACCTGAGATCAACCCTGGTTTTTGGTTGGGTTCGTGTTGATCAGTCTTTAGTTTTCTGTGTTGTGTTTTGTATACTGTTGTTTGTCTTTTGGTCTTTTTCTTTTTTTGCAATGTCGTTGTCACTCTATTTTTGACTTAATTGTGAGTTTGAATGCCTCTTTGTTATCTTTCGCCTCTCTTTTGTTGCTCTTACAGCATTATTTTTGCATTTTTGGCAATTATCTTGTAAATTATCGAAGGTTGAGAGAAAATGTAAATATAATAAAAAATGAAAACTACACGTTATAAATTTCATGCGTCCGAAGCACTTTTCTGGATTTACCTTCATCAGGAACGCTCAAAGCCGAATATTTGAAAGCCAAGAATGTATATGATCCTAAATAGTTGAAGAGCTAAGCAACAAAAAAGGACCCAAAACAATAGCCAAATCCATCTAAGGTCAA